TCATTATTTACAGGAGTTGGGAAAATATGGCATCCTTGTCTATAATGCTTGTTTTATGGTGGTTCCAACTGTTATTATTAGTTTTTCTACTGGAGACTTTCAACAGGTAAGGAGCAATATTCCATATCTCAGATTGATAGTGGTATTTTGTTGAGGTTTTGTTTGTTTGTTTGTTTTTTTAAGAGGCAATTCTACCTCCATGTTAGAGGCTACTATTTGGAATTATGTGACTTGGACTTTCCCTTCACAGGGAAGAATCTGTAATCGTTCACTCTAAGGAGAAGCTGAAGCTGTGTGATAGCCCTTATATCAGTCTTTGTTTAGAATTAACAAATGAGTGGGGACTCTCAGCTAGAACGAATGGTTGAAAATCCAGCTGCACCATGTGATTTGCCACATGCTCTAAAATGAGGCTACAAATACCAAAAACAGGCAATTTCCAGTCCTTCTCTCATTCTGATATACAAAAGAGATTCCTACTTAGTGTCAATCTAGTTTTGTAACCTACATTTCATGTCCTCATAGAACTACCACATGACCCTCCATAGGTAATCATAATACAGTATAATACTGTAAGTAGCATATTCTGGCAGATAAAGTATCAGATCAGGAGATTTGTGTTCTTTTGCTGGCCCCTCACAGACTTGCTGAGTCACCTTTTTCTTATTCCTCCTTTGAAATACTTGATATTTGCTGCTGAAAATCACTACAGAGCTTGTGGGTGTCATAAATCATTCCAGTGTCCTTTGTTGTATGTTGTCATGCCCTGAATTCACATGATACTTTGTTGTTGTGTTCTTAAAAGTTTATTTTACCTGGAAAAATTGTTACTCCCTGAAAAAAAAAAAAGATATGATTTAGCTCTATTATGTATTGGAAATGCCTTCCTGTGACATCAGTCCAGTATGACCTTGTGCCAGCTTAGGACAATGCAGCTGATGCCCTTGTTGGCAGACTCAGTGTGGGCCAAGTTTACATGGTTGTAAGGATTTGGCTGCTCTCCCACCAAACAGGACTGGAGGCATTTTGGGAGGACTGGACAAGGAAATTTACTTTGTTGCTAGGTTTATTCTGTGGGAAATAAATAGATTGCATTGTGCCCACCTGTTGATTTGGCACAAGCAATTTAATGCTCAATTACTTGAAAAGAAAGAATAAATAAATATCAAAGAAATGCGTAGTGCCTATTGTGTACGTGTATTGGCTTGCTCACTTAATATTGAGAAGTCCCATTACATGATATGGATGACTAGTGTTGATGTGACGTATATTAATTCAATCACAGAAAAAAGGGAGAAAATAGAAAAATGCTGATGAATAGTAAACAAATAATTTTAGATAACACCTGTGTTTAGCAGATTTTCAGGCTATAGAAGTTGGCTTGCTTCTAGCCTAGGAGAGCTTTTTGCCTTAAATCCATCACAGATAATGCACAGCATGTACCAGTCAAAAAATATTTGTATCCTGTCTATGTGATGGGAAGATTGTGTCTGCTCCTCTAGCTAGTTCTGGAGCAGTAGCTACTACATCTTGTAAAGACTGCAGTTGTGAGCATCCCAGTTATTTACTTGTCCTTTGCCAGCTGGCTGGGTAGGAGGATGGGAAAGCATGATGTAATGGAAGAGAAATGAAGCCCCAGAATATGTCTCTAGTCTCTCTCTAGTCTCTTTCAGATTTGAAATATGACCATTGAAACTTGATCACTCTGTGTCTTACCCCAAAAAACAGGAAAGAAGAGGTGGTCTTAGAGATGGTCTTAGAGATGGTCTTCTTACTGACAAGTTGTGTGGGAATTCAAAGAAAATATATTTCTCTCCCAGGCTTCTGTCTTGTCTTTTAATGATTTCTAGTAATATAAGTAACTGTTCCAATACTATCTGTGTTGTTGTCCTCACAAGTACAGTGGTCAACAACATGACATTTAGCTTTTCACCTTCTGTACTCAGTATGTCTGTCTCTGCTAGCTGTCTCTTCTGATTATCTGACTTTCTTTGCAGTTAAAAGAGCATAAGGCTTTGGAACTGTTGGAACTGTTTCAATGTATTTGTTCTTTAAAGTACCTGGAATAGTGTGGGAGACATAAGTAATGAAATAATGCTTTGTTCCTGTTGGCACTGCAGTGCCAAAAGAAGAACAGAAAAGTGAGTTGGTTCTTATTCCATTCTCTTTCACGTCATCGACCAAGGGGTCAAACTAACTTCAAATATGGATGTTTCTATTACTAGTAGTGATTAAAGAAGCACAGACAACACAGATACATTTCTGCTAAACCTTTAGAAGCATACAGAAAGACTTCCTTTTTAAGCTGTATTTTGAATAATCTGTACATGCACATCATTGACTCGAAATACAGATCCACAATAGCTTTTTTAGGGTTTGAAACAGGTAGGATTGAAGATCCCAGTAAAATATGGGTTGATTATTTCAAAGTGCTGCTAAACTTATTAGCTCCTGTGGGAGGAACTTAAAAAAATTATTGCTTTACTTTAGGTTTCTCCTGATGTATTCTACTGTCCTATGCAGTCATTACAATTCTGCACTTACAACAACAGTGGTTGGTGCCATCAAGGTAAATTATGGAGCAGAAGAAGGAGAAGAGAACACTGAAATGGACAGGAAAAAGCATTGCCTCAGCAAGCATCCTGATTATGTTTTGAGCTGGAAACTCAAAATGAGGGCTGATCCTGTGACACTGCTCATGCCATAGTTGCATTTTGCATTATAGAGATCCACACTACAAAATGACTTTGTTTTCTTCTCATTGAAACTCAGCTGTACTCTAGAAAGGAATGTGACTGTTGATTCCCCCCCCAACACTCATACCAGTTTAATTAAAGTTGTACATTCAACCACATTTATCCCTATTGTACTGTCACCTGGTATTGTTCTTTAACAAGTTACTGTCAGTTAGCTGAGTTAGCCTAGGCAAACGCATGGCAAACTGATGCAGATTAATCCTCTTTCGCTGTGGACTAAACTGATTTCCTTTGCTGCTGATTAAGAGGTCATTCATTGATACAAAATAATGGCTAAACTGTAGTAGCAAGTTGATTGCTTTGTGGTAACTTGCTTCTGCCTCTGTGTGGGAACTTGCGTTCTAGCTGAATGGACTATTTCATTTTCATTTATATGAATTTTGGTCAATTTGATGAATACAAAAACATGCCTCTTAAAAATTGAAACTGTTGCCCTCACAGTCTGTTTTCTGTAGCCCAACTTAAAATAAAACCAGCGCAACTTCCTTTGTGTTGATGAGGCCAGAGTTTCTGAGCTGGGAGGATCACTGACTGCACAAGCACCTTTTTGTAGGCCAGTCTGGGGAGAAGCATAGAGTTGTAAGCTGGAAGAGTTTTACTAAAAGATATACCTTTTGCTGCTGTGGGTGACACAATTGTCATCCAAACTAGCTCAGGTACAGGAATAAGAGTCCTCAGGGTGTTCCCTTGCACAGATGACAGGAAAACAATACCTCCAACATGGCAAAATCTGCAAAAGTAAGATAGCAGTTCTCTTTTCACAGTTGTCTTTTTGCAAGCTGGCAAGATTGATGTAGTAGCCTTTCTTCTGTGGCCCTGAAGGTGTTCTTTTAAATTTTGTATGTCTGCATTGAACCATTAAGATAGAGCAATGCTATTTCTATTTTCTGAACAATAATTACTTTCTGAGAAGTTTTGGATTGCTTTAAAGCTGAGAAGCACTTTATGACTCCAAATAAATTATGTCATTGACCATGCTAGCTGTTAAAACATTTGAAGCCAACAAAGTGTTGGTAAAATGAGCACACAATTCTATGGCTTGCTTTCTGTCTATAGGGGGCAATTTTCATTTTCTGAAACTTGATTGCAGGGGGAGAAAAAAGGAAAAAAAACCCAACCAAACAAAAAAAAAAACCCTTTGACTCAAAACTGTGCCTGCATCGAACTTGAGCCAAGTGCTTTCACTGCACTTTTAGGTGGCAAAGCAAGGAGGTAACGCTTTTAGAGCAATAATAAAGAGCTTTTATTGTAACTTTACAACATACTCTTTTATGCTTGGAGAAACCAAAGCCTGCTTTTAGGAAATGGGATTTGAAATGAGTCTTCCAAAGTCTTGAAAAGAAATACATTTTCAGAAGGTGGCCTTAGTTCTGTTTGTGCCTAATGCCAAATAGCTAATTTTCTTCTTTGTTTCTTCAAAAAGTAACTCTCAGTGCATTGCTCATGTTTAGAAAACATATTGATTTTATTTTGCTGTTGCGTTACCTGTAAAGTTGACATGCCATTAAATTAATTCAAACATTAATTTTAGAGAGGCCAACAACCGAGCATAGCTATTTGCTTAGAAAAGTGAATTAATTGGTATCATTTATATTCTTGGAGATGAAAACTGACTTTAACTGCATGACTTTTGCTTCCTTTTCAGAATATATCCATTGCTTACATTGGAATGTTGGTTGGTGGAGATTACATATTCTCCATGTTAAACTTTATAGGGCTTAATATTTGGTGAGTGTAACTTGAACTTGGCCTTTATTTGTTAAAGCTGAAGATTTCTCAGTGAGATATAGTTTTATCTTTTGTTTGATTTGGCCCGTTTGGCTGATGCAATTTTGAAACTACTAGCCTGAGAAAGCACTATGTACTGCCTCAGGATCTAAAATTCATTACAATTAGTTATGTCTTATCATGTCTGTTTACGTATATTGAGTGTTATCATGGTAGGATCTTAACTATGGAAATATGCCTGCAGATTTACTGTTTGGGGTTGTAAGTTCATCCTTTTTTATTATTTTTTTTTAATTTTTTTTATTAGCAGTGTTGGACCTGATTAGTTCTGAGCTCAGAGACTTCCAAGGCAAAGCCAAGTGATGTGGGAAGCGAGAACACTGATTCAATGAGTTATGCTCTTCCATATGAGTTTTTATTTCTGAACTGTTACATTTTGTGTTTGGATGAACTGTTGCACCTACTTGTATGAATCCATTGGAGCAACTGATTATTGATCCTCGTGCACTCAGGGCTAGTTTCTCAGATGGCTTGCATCTACACAGCTCTAAGATGCTCTAATTTATGCCAGCTGGCATTCCTTGATCCTTTGGATCCATAAAATGTACCCATAAAATTACCATGGATATACCACCATATCAGCTGTATCTGACATCTGTGTTCATTCTCTTTTCTTTAGTATGGCAGGAGGATTGATATACTCATTTTTAACCTTAAGAGGAAACAGCAAGCCTAAGCAACCTGGAGATGAAGAGAATGCACTTCTTGAGTCAAAGAGTTAGCAAAAATGCCTGCCTTGAAAAAGACTGAAGATGCAAGTTTATTTAGTGCTGCTGAGAACTTAAACAAGTGTATGCTGGAACATATTTGAAGCAAGAAAAAAAAATCTACCTCAGTTGCCATAGATGTGAACACATCTCATCAGTTCAGAAATATTCTTACATGCTGTGTTTTTTTTTTATATGTGGACAAGTTTCATTTTAGCTGGTTTTATACCACAAGCTAATTTACAGGAAGAAATGCCATGAGCAATTCTCAGGTTGTGAATTTCTTTATTCTTCTAGACTTTTGAGCTATTTATACTCAACAAAATAGTTCTGTTTCAGTTTCTGTCAGTACTCTCTAAGGCAAAGCTCTCTATAAAGATCATGAGGCTTGATTCGTCATTGCCTTATACCATATGTGGTCTTAGATATCAGTGAAGAGATGAAAGACACTAGCGACTCAGAATGATTTCACATACACATTTGCCCTTGTGTAAGTGACTGTAGAATGCCTGGTGTGTTTTATATCCATTGGGTAGTTATTCTCTCAACCCTTTTATCCTCAGTAACAACATGATCTTCTGCTGCAATTGTCACTGTTGTTACAAGTGGATCCTTATAACTGCTGCGGGATCAAAGGAAGAAAGAGACTGAGAGGCATTTTAATGTTTTAAAAAGATTTTTTTTGTCTGAGCCAGTACCATATGGGTAGTTAGGGGAGATAAAAGGTAGATCTATTTCTGTTCAGGTACATTCATATTTTGATATCAGTCCCCTCCTCTGACGTTTTGTCTATAATTACTTTTTAAAGCTGCATAGAAGTGACACTACGATGTACAAATTACAAGAGGGGAACTGACTGATGTATGGAAGACTGACTTGTGTTTAGTTGAGGAAAAAGGGTCAGTGTCCTGTTGTGTCTTACATATGCAGTGAAAGCTGATCTGGTACTATTTTATGCTCTAAATTCAGAACAAGGAGTCATGACAAGCCCAAGGGGTTCCTACAGTGCACAAGGCTAGTCTGGTGGTTTAAAAAACTAGACCTGGAATCTGGTGGGCTGGGTTATTTTGGGGGACAGTAGTGGCACTGCTTTGTATCTTCATTTCCTTCACTGCAAATACAGCTGATGATTGATTGATAAATATCTGCTTCCCTGAGTATAAAGCATTAGTCTTTGAAAGCACCTTAGAAACATTGCATTGCTGGAGGACAGCAGAATAATTCATCTTGCTGAAGTTTTCAATTCCAGACAGGCATGAGCTAAGATTTTTTTTTTTTAATAATCAAATTAAAAGAATGAGATTTTGGAAGACTTTGACATGGAACTGGGCAGGTGTCATGAATTTTTTTGTCTGAGTTTGAGTTAAAATACAGCAAAAGCTGAAAAGTGTTACTCTATGTGTAATGCATGGATGGCCAGACTGGATTAAATCTAAGGAGCATGTGAGTAGTTCATACCAGAAGCTTCAGTGGAATAACCAGTTTCCTGCAGACTTAAGTTCTTGGTTTCATGGCCTCCTGTGGCAATGATTTCACAGTACAATCACGTATGCAAAAAGATTTCATGTAGTGATGCTGCATTTTCTTCTATTTTTTAGCATTCTTACAGCACTGCTTTCTTCTGTTGTTATTGAGAAAGGACAGAAGCTCCTGATCTACTTCGTACCATTATTTCATATCTCCTTCTATTAATCTCCTTTCTAAAATCTGCATAGATTGTAAAACTTTTTAAAAAGAAACCACTGTGTTTTGAAAAGTTCTAGGAGCTACCTGAGGGCCTTCTTTAAATAGGATACTTCACAGCATAGCTATACTGGAATAATTTTATAGGCATACATCTACTGAAGTAAACGTCTTCATATTGCCAAGACCTAATGCAGAAATCAATACGTGGCTTCCATCCATTCCCTGCTACAAACCAATAAAAGCTCCTTGGAAAAATAGGTACAGTTGCACCATTATGATGCTCAAACACCCCATTTGCCTCATGCTTTTAGAAACAATCCCTCTTTTGGAACTGAATGCTGAAATCTTAGACTCTGGGAGATGATGTAATCATTTCAGCCCAGAACGAGAACAATGGAAGCTGTTTGCAATCCAGGTTTGGATTTCAAGAGCCCTCCTAAAGACTAGGTGTGGTGTTCAAGCTCAGATCTGCTCACTACATTATATAATGAAATTTTAAAAACCTCAAACCAGGTTACTTGTTTGTGATGTTCATTTAAGCCATCGATCATCAGTTTCTAAGTAGAATTGACATTAATCAGTGTTAGTGGATGCTTGCACTGATTTGGATGGATCTGGATCCGGCCCGGTAACAGCAATATCCTGATGTCTCTATAACCACATCCTGGTACTTTACTATTTGTACAAGCTGCATTCCTTAAGGGAAAAGAAGATTTTGGAGTTGCTTCTGCTTCCTGCCGCTAGAAGTCAGAGCTCTGACCAACCTCAAAGGAAGGACTGGGTTCTGGTGAACTGCTGAGCTGCCCATGGATTTGAATGGCAAAAGGAGGAGTGATTGCAGATATTAGAAGTGGAAGATACTAGAAATGGAAACAAAAGTCTGGATTTTCCAGTTGCCCAGAGCTGGATAAGAGATGTGACTTTCTTTTTTTTTTTTTTTAACTATTAGGGGGATGGGAGGGGTCTGTAAATTGAGCCTCAACTCTCAGTAGTGGGACAAGGCAATAGGAAAGTTTTTATCAATTACTAAAAGATTATCAGAGCAGTTTGACTGCAATACTAATGAACAACCTAATGGCACCTACTAAATAAGAAAGATGTAGTTCCTACAAAGGAGCAGCTACCAAATGTATTTTAATTGATTAATATTTTGCTGTACCTTTTATAAATAAAGAGATACAAAGTATATTCTTTTAACTTTTTATTTTTGTGGGGATGGACAAGTAAAAATGCTTTCAAGCACACCTGTATAGCATAAATATTTGTGTACAATCAACTTCTCTACTATAGTTGAAGTAGTTTGGTTAGTTCATTCTGTATTGTAGTGGAAGTGATTTAATTTAATTCATAGTCCATATCATGCTTCTGAAGTCCTTCTGGCTTGGACTTCTTAGCTAAAATACAGACTTCATTCTTACAGTTTTTATGATAATATTACTCAGAATGGTTTAAAAGATAATTTAGAAATAACCAAAAATAGATACTAACTAAAAGAGCTTTCAAGTGAACTTAATGTTGGGTGTCAAAATGGGCCAAGGAAGAAGAAAAAGTTCCTGTACGTCCTTTCAAAGAGGAACTTGACTTCAATCCCTTAGTATTCTTCCTCTGTCTCTACAGAGAGCATATTGATTCCTCTGAATTAGCTGGTTGAAACTCTGATTATATGGGCTCATTCTGACACAATTCTCATGTTAGAATTTAAGCAATGACTGAAATGTCCACTTTGTTCAGAACCTCTAGTTGAGTAATTATGTCTTTCAGCAAATAAAGTAGTAAATTTAAACTGATTCCTCTTAGTATACATCTGTAGATAGTCCTGATCATAGTTTTCTACAGATTTCATGTTAGCTTAATCAAATACTAAATTAATTGCAAAATTGCATGACTTAGTTGCTGTGTGAAGCTTCATTTTCTTTTCTTTTTGAACAGAGGAAAAAATGGTTACAAAGAAACATTAGCCTTCAAAATACATATTTAAGCATTAATAAGTGGCTTACTTTTAAAAAAATATTGGATTGACTTCTGAAAATCATGTTCCCTTACATAAGTGTCATGTAGATACACGTTGCTAGCCAAAGAACTTGATTTTCATAATTCAGTCTAATGCTTTTAAAACTTCAAAAGTCCTACAGGTGGCAATGGGTATCTTATGTAAGGGAACATAAGAAGCTTTAAAAAAAACCCTGAAAACAGGTTCCAGTTAAACAGTAATTGGTTTGGAAAGAAATATTAATCTGTACAATAATCTGTGCAAACTGTAATATTATAGGGATTGCTTAGCAGCAGACTAGCAGTAATGGGAGGAGATTAAGAGAAAAAAAATGCAGCAGCTATCACAAGCAGCTTTCTAGCCATGCAATGTGTAAAGTTCTTGAAATGATTCCTGTGAAAGTTAGAGAAGCAATACCTCTGGGGGAAACTTAGACTGGGCTCGACAAATAATACTTCACGTTCATAAGAATTTACTGTTTTTTCTCTTGCTATCTCAGCCTGTTTTAAGAATATTAGGCCCATGATGTATTGGAAGCATATCTCAGACTCGTGACCAAAGTCTCTGGAAAAGAAGATGGACAGGGTGGTTTGGGAGCACGGGCAGAGCTAGAAGTGCAGCAGAGGAAGCTGACAGTTATGGAAGTTTGGGTTTTGGCTCCATAGTCAAACAGAAGGGATTTTTTTTTTCTTAAAGGAGGTATTCAGCATCCTTGTTGCATGTGAAAAATATGGTGCATTTTATCCAAATTTAAAATATTCCTTGAATAGTGAATGATTCTCTAGAGAATTTGTGATTGTAAATACTTTGGGAAATTTAATATTCAGATCTTTTTATGTTCTGACTAGCCTTACTTATGGAGTAAAACAAGAGCTGCTATGCTATAAAAATTGTAAGTATACTGAAATCTTATGTGTAAAGAACTGAGTTCTTGTTAGGTTAAATAGTATTGATTTTTATTTCTTGTTACAGACAGACTTAGTGCTACATTCCTTGTGACTCAGTCATCACATTTTCTCTGCAGTGCATCTGCATATTGTAGTTTTCTGGCTGAAGGTGTCACTAATGTGACACTAATGTGTGCCCTGAGAATTTCTATATGTTAATGGTTTTTGGTTTTTTTTCACTTTTTTCTGAGTTTCATTGATTTCAGACTATTTTTCTTGCAGTAAGCATTCTTGTAAATGTTTTTTCCTCTTAGGATTTTGATACCTGTCCTCAACTTTAATACTAGTTCAAACAGACTTTTTCAGAAGAGCTGAAAGTCCTATTCCTTCTTAAATATATTACTGTACCTCTTCATGCCATAATTTCCCCATTTGTAAAATGGGTATAATGGTATTAATCTCTTTTCAGAAAGCTCTTTGAAAAGTTATGTGATATTGCTTTCTCTGTATAGAAAGAATTAGGTATTGTTATTACCCTTGAAATTTGAAGAAAAATCCAATTTTTTGGCCTTAGCACAAGTTCAGTGTGAACTTGCCCTGGAAGTATCTAGACTAGGGAGTTTAACTAACTCCTCAACACTGTAAGAAGTTGTGCTGATGTGTATTATCCCCAAGGTTTGGAATATTCTTATGTGGGGGTTTTGGTTTAGACCTGTCTTTAGTCTCTCTGAATCTTAAACAATGACAATAAAAATATTTTTCTTCTTTTTGTTCTTGGATAGTTTCCAGAAAAGGAGTGAAACCTTGCCTCTAAAGCAAGCACCAGAAATCATTGTTTAGTTTGGATTTTTTTCAGTAGTTTACAAATCTGGGTGTAGTGTAGAGATGTTATTCTAATCTAAACTCTGGACACTCCTTGGAAAAAGAAAATCACGTGATTTGATTAGACGCCTCGCTTCTGGGCCAGCGCTCAGAGACTAGCAGTGTGCTAAGAGGCATTTCTCAGGGAGATAGGGACTGTTTTATCCCACCTCCCTGCCTTCGCTATGGAGGAGTTCCAGCATCAGCTGCTCACTGTTATTGGGGCTCTGATCTGTTTCTGTACTCTGGTAAAATGCATCCGATTTCTGAAATATATTTTCCCACATACTTGGAATGCTTTGCCTCAGGCTTTCTTTCGGTCACTGGGAGAATGGGCAGGTAAAGGAAATTTCCTCATGTTTTTCTTGTAACTGAGCGATGAACTGTTATGTTACTAATCAGGAGAGGTTTTCCTTGTGTTCCCTTACCCTGTCCCTTCAGAACAAAACACGCCTTCCACTAAGTGTGGTTTGCTTCATTTCTTTCTTTTTTTTTTTTCCTCTTAGTAACTTTGGTTTAAGAACCAGAAGGTTCTGCACACTTGAGGAAAGTAGGAAAATAACCAAACTGATAAAAGCTCACATACCTGGTGAATAGATGTGAATTCCTTCCTCATGCCTACTTCTGATGTTTTTTCTCTACTGGAAATGCTTTAGTTTTAATAACATTGCCTATATCCTCAGTTTCCTGTTATGTAAAGCAACTAGTTTATGTCTAGCATATGGCCTCCACTCTTCAAAGCAACTTTTCTTTGTTCCTGGTGACTTTGCTCCAGTCTGTTTTTCCTGAATTGGTTGCCTCTCCTTAATGGTATCATTAATGAGACAAATCTACTTCTGCCTAAAAACTTCAGAGGCTGCTACTTGGCAGTTCTATTTTAGAGCTATTACAGGTTCTCATAAAAATAACAGAAATGTTTAACAAACACCACCTTTCCACTGAATGTTGATATTTTTCTTAGGCTTGTTAGATTATTGGGATGAAGTAGGAATGAAAAGTTACTGCATTTTCTGAGTTCCTAGGCTACAGATGTAATCAATGGTGGCATCTTGCTAACAAGGAACCCCTATCAGTACTCTTGTACTTCCTTCTTGCCTCCACATTAGAGCCTTGAACTCACTGGATTTAATAAGCATTTAATAAGCACATTTAACAGTGGAATAATGAAGAGTGAAATCCATTCCTTTGCAGAAGACCTGCCTAAAGACCAGGTATTTCTGAAATAACATGTAGGCCGTATTTTGATTTAAGTGAGGCATGGGCCTCAGATCTGTGCATGAGGGAGAGGGTCACGGAGTGGAAGTTTCTATACAAAAATCTTGTTTCCATTGAAGTTTGAGAGACTGTTGCTTCCTTCAGTGGAATCACCTTTTATGCTCTGTCCTTTTAAAAATGTATAATCTTCTGGATGCAGTGAAATTCATAGGTTTGAATGATTTGCTGTATCACATGGCACATGAGATCCTGAGAATCATGAGAATTAAAGTTGGCAGGTGGAAACTTGTTTCCCAACAGACATTTGCTTTGTATCTGCTAGTCTACTAGGAATGTAAAAAAATACCTGCAGTGCAGAAGCATTTTTCAGATATTGACTAATATTCCATTTTGCTCTGAAAACTTACCAGGTTTACCTTGGAATTGTCTTAGTGTTTTCCTACTGTATTTCTTCCTTATGGTGATAAATAATGCTTTCTTTCTGTATTTCCTCTTTGGTATTTGTTTGCATAACTTCTAAAGTTCAGGGTACTTTACATATGCCAATACTTAGTTACTTTCCCAGTGATACTAAATCCAAAGGTAGACTGTGAGCAGGAAAACTCTGGAAGAAGAGCACTTCATAGATGGTGGTAAATTTGCTGTGATGTTTCCTTACAGACAGATTTATTGTGAAGGAAAGACGTTACATCAGCTTCAGGGACCAATTAGTCCTTATCTCCTGCCGTTCTGGCACCAACATATAAGTAAAAAACTTGCAAAGCAAAACTTGTAAAAATATGCATATGGAAGAAATTTCTACCACCCCGTAGACAATTGATTTATTGCTGTGTGTCTCCCTATTGAAAATGAGAAAAATAACTACCTACTATACCAGCTGGGTTACAGTGGAGAGGGATTTTCTAATATTAGTAAAATGATTTGAAGAGCAAAAGTGCTGAATTATATGACAAAAATTGTTAGACAAAAAAGTCACAAGGAAATAAATCTTAAGAAAAGGTTGATTCTGTGCTTTAGGAGAGTACCATTTAGGTAGTAATGGTCAAGAAACTCAGAAGATGAAGATTAAAGAATCCAGGAAAGAATAAGCTAAAGCAGAGTAACAAATGTAATCTCTCTTTTTTTTCTTTTTTACTTTCTCCAGTGGTCACAGGAGCAGGAGATGGGCTTGGAAAAGCATATTCCTTTGAGGTAAGATAGATTACTTACCCTTTAATTTTATTTTAACTAAATGGCAAGTGCTACCCTTCCACCAAACTCTGAAAGTTACTAAGGTTATTCTAGGATTAAGAGCCAGTATGACAAACATGGTACTAATCCTTCTCCTCTGCATGTGCAGAGTAACACTAATCAACTTCTGAAAGGAAAGCGGTATTGCATTTCAGAGGAAAATCATTCATGCCCCAACACTCGCGTTGGACCAAGAAAATCAAATGGAAACGCTGAGTAGTCTAAAAGATTTTGTGTTGTCTATCCAGAGCAGGAAGTCTCCTGGGTTGGCTTTTTTTCCCAGTTTTGCAGTTGATCTGTTGTGTGTCTTTCAATGGGGTTGTCTAGCATTAAACATACAAAATGTAGAGTCATTTTGTAGCCCTCACAGTTGCAGAGAAAAGCTTGACAGATATATGTGAAACCACAAATAAATGAGAAATCTACGTAAATGAACAACTATAAGTTATGAAAATTATAACAAAATCTAAAAGCATAAGGAAGAATCAGTAGCTCTAAGAGTAGGAGGAGAGTGAAGGGAGGAACGGTGAAGCTGAGAGCTGCCATCGGCTCCATGGTAACCCATTGCTGCTGCTGTGCAGAGTCACTAGGGCAGCCCCATTCTATACCCCCCTGCCTATCCAGGGCAGGGTGGCCTCTCAGATCATCTTTGCTGCTAGTGATAGTGACCAAGTGGTAGATTTTCTTTGAGGTCTTCATTCAAAGGTTCTTTTTTCTAGAAGCTGCATATCAATGATACATGAGTTACTGCCTCCAGTGCTGAGATGACCAGGTGAAAATTAGCAGCCTCTAATATGTCAGTATTTAGATTAGATGTGATCCCTTCTGATCATAAATTATATATAAAATATATCTCAGAGGAAAGGAAAATGAGTTTGCTTTTGAATTAATTGACAGGACTTTCTAAGCCAATCTTTTTAAGCATATGCATTATTTACTTTAAGCACCTACCTCATGATTTTGATTCCTGCGAGTGGCAATATAATAAGTACTTTTGGAAGGGCATTGAATGTAGGAAGCACAAGGACAAATGCCAAGTTTAACATTCAACATTCATCATAGTTGTGATAAAGATCACAAGCTCTTCTGTGGGAGAAAAGGGAAAATGTTGCCTTCTGTTAATGGAAAGGGCTAGAGGAATGAATAGGTTGGGGAAGGATGGGATGGGTGAGAGAAGGATTTAGTATAAGTGCTTAATTGTATCTTTAAAACCACACCTCTGGGTGTAGCCACCTGCACATGCAGCTTGCTGAACTAATTTCTTAAGTGAGCACCTGGTGATATTTTATCCAGGTGAAGTTTGCAGGCACCTGTGAATGTCTAAATCAGAATCTCTGTCATTGTTCTGCTTCCTTCATGCTATTTAGGTGATGCAACAGTAAGTCCCATTAAAAGCCAGTTATTGCAGGATGGCTGCTTTACACCACGAGAAAGAGTAAAACAACTACTGTGTTTTCTTGAAAAACTTGGCTGGAACTGGCAAGTTTTTGTGGAACATGTGTTAATTATTTTTGGCTTTGCGGGATGATGGAGAGCCATCCTTTATCCATGCTGAGACATACCTTTCTCCCCAGGTGGTCTCTTTGATTTAAGCTTTGCTCAGCTACTGCTCTGTGGGGCAGATCTCAAGTCCACACCACATGAGTTCATAGCTTGGCACCTTCATCTTGCTGGCGGAGGTCAAAGCACACACTTGTGTGTGGCTCGTGGATAAATAAATCTGACCCTACTGTTTTAATGTCTGTGTGCCTTTGGAGTTTCTGGCTCAGCTCTGCTGTCTTGCTGGTCTGATGTCAGGGCACAAAACGATCTGATGTTCTTCTGGCGTAGGTCCCTCTCGTGTCAGGGGCTGATGTGAAGGCAGCCCTTGTGATGTGCATCTTCCCCACAGGTCTTGTCTGTTGGCCACAGGGCCGCAGGTAATGCCAGTTCCTCTAGAGTTTGTGCTCTGACACCAAGTGATGGATTTCTGTGACGTCCTGAGCTCAGAAAGGGGCTGATAACAAGTCACAAACTAATGTGGGGGCTCCACACTTCTTGGTAGTATACAGGACTTGAGACTAGGGAGAGCAGTTCTTGGGTTTTGGAAGGCCAGTGCGATGTGGCTTTCCCTGTTCAATGTTTTATGTGGAAATCTCAGTAGGTGGCTCATTAGGTACAGCCCAGTTGGCAGAGGTCCAGGCAAAGAACATTACAATATTTACTGATTCAGTACCCTTCTTTCCAAGGTTTATAGCTAATACAGGTCTCTGCAAAGCATATCAAGCTCAATAGCTGGCTGGACTTGTGTGAAGAGCCAGATAGCTCTGAGGTCTTCAGGTCAATATATATACACTACTTTGTTGCTTTCAGGACAGATTTTTCAGAGCAAATTATTGTCCTTTTAGTTTCCTGAGCTTCTGTTGACAGGCAAGCACACAAACACCTTGAGCTTGTTCTCTTCTAAATGAAAGTCCAGGTTTCCATGAAGGCACTGTCAGTATTTCTAGCACATCAGGGTGATTTTAAAGGCCTGGCCTTCTTGAGCATATAGACTCAGTTCCTTAAACTGGCTACTGTGACATCAGGGTACTGGGATATTGGCTCTAATTTGCTATACTTATTTCAAAAGCCAGGTTTCTATTAGATTTGGTCCATTAGTTCTTGGATTGATGGGATTTAGACTCACCAGACTTATAACAAGGGAAAAAATGTCATCTGTGAATGTGCTGCTAGGCTGTCACGTCTCAGAGCTCTTTGACATCTCTACTCAACTGTTGGCATTTCACAGTACTGGTACAGTCTTGATAGTTCTGTTTTTTCTGAGATAATAACCACAGATCTACTTTAGTGACTGTCACTGGTTTAGCACCTCAAATTTAGTGGGTTATGGAAGAGGCCATACCATACTCTGAGATTTATCATCTGCAGACTTTTCATTTGATGTGAGGACACAAGCAGGACATTGGTCGCTCACATCCTCACCTAGCTGGCTGGTTTAATGAATATTTTTGTTATTATTAATAGTGCATAACTTTCTTACAAATCAGGCTGCTGCTTATGTTAAAATCAATGTTTCAGCAGACCATTTTGAGACAGGCACTGCATTCATTTATTAATACAACATTTTCTCAAATCTCAAATCTTTTTGTCTCATTTCCTGAAATTGTGTGCAGTATTACCAGCAGTCTAATGCAAGCTAAATATGATTTGAGTTATCCTGCTCCAGTTGCATCCATATTATAATTTATTCACTTGATCCTGGATTTTTTCCTGCAGATACTGCTATCCTAGTTCTGTTGCGCAGGTGCAGGGCTAGCACAAAGCGTGCAGAATCCTACTGCCCCCCTGCAGTCTCAGTCCTGGTCTGCTGGACCAGAAAGATTTGAGAGATTTGAATCACAGAGACCCTACAGGTCTGAACCCCAGGGAAAGAAAATGAAAGAAGCACTGAGACGATATCAGTGCAATTTCGAGGAAGAGAGAAAAGTCTCACGATAGGTAGAAATGTAAAACTATGGCTTCCATAAAACATTATTAGGGGGTTTAAATTATTAAATCTGTGTTTCTGTCTGGGTAGAGTATCAGCAATTTGTGAGTGAAACTGCAGTAGTTACATGCACGGTTTGAATCAAAAAAATTTGTGTCTTGCCTTGCATGTAACTTCTGTTGTTTGAAAATTTGTCTCAGGCTGAGCTGCAAAAATGCACTAGAAGCTGCACAGTGATTTTTTTTTCATTAGTTTAATGTGGATTTTAGCTTTTAAACAGTGGCTTTGCAAGATTCTGGAAAGCAGATCTTGCTCGACCTTTCTTTTTTATTAACCCAGTTTCTAAATGCTAAGTTATCATTATTTGTTATGACTGGAGGCAGTAATAATCTTACATTTTAATAGTCTCAGTAGTTCAGAAGCATTTTAATCCTTCACCACTGGGAGTCAGGATTTCCTAATATATACAGGTTCATACTGCACAGTGCTGGGAGCCAGTGCTTACTCTTATCTGTGATGGGAAATTCCATCCTCTAACGTCAAAGCCTTTGTGTGTTAGCAAAATGCTTTGTGCTAAAGACATTTCCACTAAAAGTTATATTTATCTAGAATGCAGTAGTGTTAAAGCCGATTTAACCATTAGTGTGGATGGCCAGGAAATCATTTTCTAAGCACAATGCTTTTTGCTTGCTGTGAAGTTGCATTTGAATCTCATGGTAGTTAAAATGTCCTGTGAAATCTGTTTCTGAAAAGGATGCATGTTTTCTATGTGAGTGAGCAAGCAAAAGAGTAGTCAAGTGTAGCTTCTTTTGCCTTAAGAAATGGCTGCTACAACCTTATAGTTCTGGTTAGTCTGATAAACAGCAGCAAAGGAGAGTCTGCTTCTCTCATCTGACAATTAACAATTTTATAAAATTGCCACAAGCATTTGTCTTAAGCTAAGATACAACTCATCAGGTCTTAGCAATAGGAATCATTTACTTAGTTTTTTAGAAGGGGATTTTTCTACCAAATGACACAAAAAATATAATTGAGATGATATTGAGAAGCCCAGAAAAATAAATCATTGCTTTTGTTTTGTTTTTTGACATGGCTGATATTTGGTCTTGGGTTTACATGCTAAAAAATTAAAATAATCCCTATCCAAACATCCCTAAATTACAAATAGAAATAAGTGACCATGGAAACAGAGACCATGTCTCCATTGCTTTCCAAATTGATTGGAAACAGCTTGAGTCAAGCTCATTGTGGACAAAGGGAAATTTGCCAGTATGTAGACAATTAGAGTTCTCTTCCTGAGTACTTCAAATGCAGCCCTTAAAATGAGCTTTCAAAACTCCAGAGTGTCCAAGTGTTTGCATATCTCTTTGTTGGAGATCTGCTGGATCATACAGGGGAAACCCTGAAGGAATGCACCAGTTGTTAGAAACTATAATGCTAACACATAATCCCAATTGGGGAGATGTACAAGCTTTGTTAAACACATTTTTCA